GAGCATTATCAACACAGATGTATTTGAGTTTTCACTAGAGACGCATTTCTCCCATGGGAGGAACCCTATGCCAATCCAACTGAACATAATGAAGGCAATAGCATGGATTGCAAGGCCAGTGGCACAGATTGTCACTGTTTCAGCCTTATGCAAAACTAGTTGACAGGTAAATTAACAGTAAATACTAATCCATCAGGCTAAGAAGCCACAACATCATTTCCATTGTCTTGGAGTTGTTCCAGTCAGGAGCCTGGGGAAAACTTTAATTTATGAACCACTGAAGGATTTTTCTGAAGGGAGAAAAAGGATCCCAAACAATAAGCCTTCTTTTGGTACTTGCTATTAAAAAAAACCCATCATAATAGCACCTCATTTCAGCTTGTTATGAGAAATGGATTTGATTATGAGAATTACTAGGCAATCCCCCAGGTGGGGGACAGACGTTTTGAGTTCTGCTCCCTGCAATCCATTATTATTATTATTATTATTATTATTTACACAACAATGTGAAATCACAGCTGCCAGTTCTTTAACTGGTGTTGGCCTTCATTCGCGCTGAGTTCTTCCCAAGAACCTAGGATGTCGTAATGTATTGCCATATATATGTGCAGATCCACACAGTGTGGTCTTTTGTAATTGACAGATGGAAATTTTGTCCGTGTGCAGATTTTCTAAGTGCCGTCCAAGGTTTTCTGGAATGGCACCCAGTGTGCCGATAAGCACTGGGACTAGGTCTTCCCTAGGTTCAGCTTTAAAAAAAAACTGGCTGACCTATTGGCCAGAGCACCTGTGACTAGGCTGAAATGGACTGGATGATCTATGATTCAGTATGCTGTAGGACTTTAGCTATTGCCTTAACATGTTGTGTGAACCAAGGCATTAGCTTAAACCATAGGATGTTTTATTTAGGCATAACATTTTATGTGAACATAAGAATTTAATTTTATTCACCTAAATTTAAGGGTTTAAAATATTTCGCTTTTGCACAGAAAATGCAAACTATCTTGCAAAGATTTAGGATTTAAACTGCTAGCCTGAAATAGGAACTCAATCAAAGAAAAGGGGAATAAGAAAAGTACCCAATCTCTGTTGATGACTTTTCTGAATTTGGGCACTTCTGCAGCAGTATTCAAGATCACTTTCAAGATCACCTTCAAATGTAACTGATACCGTGTTGTTGACTGTGTTTGGAAGTGAGTTGATCTATTTCTGGATCTGGCTCACTTGGAAGCGCTATGGTTGTGAATTTTGTGGACAGTCCATTTTCTCATGGGTGGAAGTCTTGCCTTGTCCTGGGTCCTGGCCTTAAGCCAGCCATTGCTTTAGCCCCTGCTTCCAAGGTTCAGTGCTCGGCTTCTCCTCTTACAAACACTGGTTAGAACATCTCTCTTTCCCCCAATACCCTTGTCATAGCAAACTGCAACCATGGCCAGCACTATTGGAAAAAGTGTTCATTTCCAAAACTGTCCACATTTCATCTTCACAACTCTCAAGGGCTTTTAAATATAGCAGAGGAAAAGGGGCAAGACAGCTGGGAAGCCTTTAGAAAATTTGTTTACTTTTCTTATAATTAAGGGTCCTCCCTTACAAAGTTTTCCTTATAGCAACTTTTCAGATTTTCTTTGCAAACCACTAGACAAATGTATGCAGAAATATGTTCTAAAGAAGACAGAGAATGACACTAGTACTTCATTCTCTCTTTGTAAGGTGTAGTGTGAGATTTTTCTTACTCCATAAGGGTTGGTAGCTCAGGGAGCAGGAAACTAATTGGATTATGTTCCTTGTATTCCTTTTCCTTCTAGAATGGAAGAAGGTAAGAACTGTTGAATCAAACATGGTGTTCTCTTGATGCCCTCTGCATTTCAAGACTGGCAGGAGTAAGGACAGTCAGCTTCAAACTGCTTTGTCAGAGATTGGGGTGGAATATTGCCCTTCCACTGTAACATCTGAAAGCCTCATTACCACTTCATTCACTTTGCTAGAGTGAGAAAATGCCATGACTTCTCTTGGCACTTCTGCTCTGAAAAAAGCCATTATCATCAGCTTTGATTGGCAGCAATCTGCCAGGTTCTCAAGAGTTCTTTCCCATTATCTGTCATCTGCTCTTTTTATGTTAATTCAGTTCCACAACTTCATGGTCACATTCACATGACTTATTTAACCAGCTTAATGTCAGCCCCAGCTTGTCATGTGAACCCAAAATCCTATCATATTTGGGTTACCAGATACAATAAAAATTCTCCAGGTTAATTTTTGGCCAAGTTACCTAACCTGGGTACATTGTCTCATCCAAACCCAGATGAGAAGATTAATTTGGCCTCCACAGAGATTTGGCCACCACAGAAATGCGACACTCGAGTGGCTTCACAAAAATGGGAATTTTCAACATTCATCTTTATTGACATTTTCCTTTCAATCCTGCAAGCACATGTGGGGGAGGTTGCTAACTGATCTTCAATTTCAGTCAGTTTGCACAGATTTTTAAAATAATTTTTTTTGAACTGAAACCACAAAGCTGCTTGGGGTCCTATCCAACATGGCAGCTACTAGTCTCATCCCTCATCTGCTGTAGATCACTTTACAAATGATTTACCTGGGGGAGGGAGCAGATACAGGCAGCCATCTTACACAACCAAAACACCAGTATCGTAAACCAACACATGGAAGTTTGGGGAGATATTGGGGCTTTGGGTATTTGTAAGCCCCATGGAAATGGTTTGGACTGCATCCATCAGTGACAAATTCAGTGGCAATAGTTCAGAGATTACTGGCCTGGGCGCTTACACTTTGGTTCAGCCTCCCCAAATGGGTTAGGGATATCAATCAATGGTTGACAGTTGCCTCTGCAAATTTATATACCCATGCCATAACCACAAGAAGGATAACACACCTAGCAATTACATCCACAGTAGGAAAAACTTTTTGGACATGAGATTTAACACTAGTGGTGGGGGAAGAAAGGAACAAGAGCTGGTGGCAGCCAGAACTTTTGCACATGTTCATCTTGTGTACTAACTGCATCTTCTCCTGCAACCAGAGGCACTGTTCAAGGCTACTCATGCCTTGGTCAGCTCCCAAGTAGATTATTGAAATGTGCTCTGCATGGGCCATGTTCTGCTCTTGAAGAACATCAAAGTACACCTTGGTACAACCATGTTATACCTTTGCTCTGCAGATTGCACTAATTGTCAGTGTGCTTCCAAGTGCAATTCAAGATGGTGGTTGTCACCTATGAAGCCCTTCATGGCATGGGGCCAGACTATTGTAGGACTGCCTTTCCCTGATTGTTTCTACCTGTCCCTTTAGGACCAACAGAAGGGACATGTTCTGCATCCCATTTACCCAAGAATGTCATTTGGTGAAACCTGATGTATAAGAATCACCTTGAGGAACAGGAGTAAGAGCCGCAACCAAGACAATAGTCAGATGAAAGAAATTTGAGTCTGAGGCAGAAATGTAATTTGAGAAAGCATCGCAGACTTGACCTTCCTTAGTTCTCTAGAAGATAAAGGGAGGGAGGGGGGAGGCACTTTCATAGTTGCAAGATTCTGTAATACAGTAAGTAGTATTAACATCCATAATTTTGGTTTCCTAGTCTGGTCCACCTCGAAGGGCTGACAAGGAAGGTGCTTCTTCTGTTGCAGCACCTGCCCTTTAGAATTTTGTAAAGCTTTCAAAACATGGCTGTTTTCCCAGACATGGGACCTGGGAGGTTAATTGGACCCATGAGATCGATGTGCCATTTGCAGATGACTATCATTTGCCATGATGCGTATTTATTATTGTAAATAGCTGTATCTGAGTTTTTAATCCTGTATTAGCCAACCAAAGCCACCGTTGTGAGACAAGCAGTGGTACAAGTTGATTAAAGAAAATAAATAAGTCAGCTTGTAAAATAATAAACCAGACAAAGCTAAGAGGAGATGTTCCTCTTACACAGCGTTTCTCAAGCAGCCGTTCTCAAAGCAGTCCAGCTGCAATAAAACACAAGTCCCCCAGTACATTTGACACAGCAGCACGTGCAGACTTTCTGCTCACACAGCACAGCAATTTCAGATCTGGGAGAACCCACTGGATCAGTTTTCTGCTTTCACTCTCGGCCTCATTTTGAGCATGCTGCCAGTAGGATTTACACCGCTGTAAGCACATACGAGACTGAAGCTTTACTTTGCTGCCACTTCGCTTCTAATTACAGAGTAAATCAGGCTGCAAACGCTGAAACGCCTTCTCGGAAAGAAGTGATCTGATCACTTCTATCATGCTGGGTTCCAGGTTGTCAGATGAATGGGATGCAGGATGCGCCAGGCGGGGCATCCCTGCGACTGGCCGTGTTCAAAACGCCCCTCCTCAGCTTTTCTTCCAGTTCCAAAGCCAAATCCAAAGCTTTCCAAATGGCGCACCTTGAAAACGCGGCTCTGGGGCAGCCGCATTAAGAGACGGCGAGCTAGCAACGCTTTGGCGTTACAAGCGCTGTTATTCTTTATGCTCGAGCTGCCCTGACACAGAACTGCGGTTAACTCCCCTATTCGTCTTACGAAATCATTCTGCAAGAAACAAGCATCGTCTCCCCCACTTCGGGGCGGGGGCTGGAGGACTCGCCCCTCTCCCCGTCTGGCACCGCCGGGAACTGGGCACGGGGGACTCAGGAGCCTCGCGGCCGCCCGGCAGAACTTCCCCAGCCAGTCCAAGGACGCGCCAGCGGAAAAAGAGCAGAGAAGCAGCTCTCAGAGCAGCGGGCAAAACGCTCCCGCAGAAGCAAGTCAGGTGACTTGAATGCCTCTTTCTCCAACCTTGGTTCCTCTGACATTCCCACAATCCAACCCCGTCGCCCGCTGCCCCCTCCGCCTCCCGGGCTTCTCTTCTTTCACATTCAAACCCTTCGCCCCGCAGGCAGCCGCCCGCCTCAAAAGAGCAGCGGCCAATGAGAAGAGAGCTTGGCTGCCACATCGGGGCAGCCCCCAGGACCTTGGCGAGGAGGCGGGGCATCGCGGTGGCGGAGGGAGACCGGGCAGGCGGCAGAGGTCTAAGCTGGCATATAAAAAGGACGGGGCGATGGTTGGTGGCTAGATGTTCGTGTCCGTGGTCTCTCTTTCTTTCCCTTCTGTTTAATATGTGCTTTCTGATGACACTGCAGTCTCTGTTCTAACAAAGTTTGTGTACTTTACTTTCCGCAGGTAAGAACTGTGCTGGAAGTTGAATTAATAAACGAATGCTAACTAGAATAACAATTTTCCATTTCCTTTTAAGTTATTTTTGTACTTAAAGACGTTTTAGGAGGTGTTTTGTTTTAATTAAACTTTAAAGTGTGTTTGTAATGGACTTAAAACTGTATTTCCCTTGACACAGGATTGCAAATGACTCATGGGGTGTAATTCATTTACCAAGGAGTAGCCCTTATTGAAGCCGGTGGAATTTACTCCTGGTGGATGTCTAGGGCTTAGCAGGTGTCCGCCACTAGCTGACCTTGGTCGATCTTGAAAAATCAGAATTTGCTCTGGTTTTTCCTTGGAGGGGAGACTACCAGGTATTTCCAGAGCTTTTGGCTAGATTGGAGTGTTGAAATCCCTTTTTAAATTGGACATGTCCATATCCTTGCCAAGAAATAAAAATGCGGGGAAGTGTACGGGATTGGTGGCTTAGACCTCTGGGCATGGCCATTATTTTCCTGATGCCACATCGTAGTGTTCACCTGCCTTATCTTCTAACAATCTCTCAGTCAATTGGATTTGCTTCCTCATAGTCAGAATTGTAAGGTGCACCACGGAGCTGTTGATGGTGAATGTACTTCTTCAGAATGGTTGCAACCAACAGCTTAAACAATAAATATTCTGAACTGAGTCAGCAGCGATTTCAGCAGGCATCCTTCTCTGGTAAGTAAGTTAGGGGGACTGCGATTGTGGCCACGTGTGAACAGGAAGCAATCCAGGTTCGGTTAAACTAGACTTGCCCCATCTGATACCCTGAGGCCACATTTAGCCTCTGAAGACTGTGAAACACTGTTGCCAAATAATGCATTTTAATAAAACATAATGCATTATTAAATACATTTATAATTTAAAAAAATAACTTTTCATCCTGAACTCACTCACTACTTTGGGAAGTCCTACCCCTGGATGTCATTCAAGCACCAAGGGTGCTCTTGACCCAGGATTGTTATATATAGTATTATCATGTGAAAACATGAGGTGTAGCCTAAGACTACATTTAGTGGAGACCATTTTGAATATTTTCTCTATTTGTTGTTATTTATCTTTTGTAGGCAGAAAAATAAAAGCACACAGCAGACCTTGGCTTAAAATTATCTGCAAAATTTCATATAGTTTTTGGATAGAGTAAATTTAAATAAACAGCCTAATATTAGAATTTGTGCTTGGTTCATGCATTAAGAAGTTGAAGTATAACTTTCATACTTTCTACCCATCTTAGAAGTATCAGCATAGTTTGTCAACGTGATAAATAGTTTGGTAATAATGCAGAATAAACAGCCCAAACTTGCATAGGCTGCAAATATAAATCTTTTTCAGGTTTTGCTGAAAGAAGGAATAGCTCCTTCAATTCTAAGCCTTGGCATTTCAAAAGCATATTAGTGCAGAATTTTTCATTTTAGTCTTCAATCAGAAACTGTACAATGATTGTAGATTTGTTGCCTCGCTGGCATAGAAGCCAGCTGCAGGGCTAGAACCTAGATGTTTAAATATAATTCCTTTATAAATAATGACAACTTTTTGCTTTCTATGGGAATATAGCCTTTTTAAAAAAAAATTGGCAGCAATAGAGATAATTTGTATAGCATCATGTTAACAAAAATATGTGTAAGTAAATTGAATGGTATTACTATTTTCAGCAAAACTGAAGGATTCTTACATGCATGGAAGATTTGTAGCAAGACCTAAAGATGTTTGCTTGGAATTAACCATTAAGTAATGAGCTCGCTGATGTTTCTCCTGGGTGTGAAAGATGTATGAAAACTGCTTCATTTTCTCCATCAATTTCAATTGTGGGATGCGTCTATGTCCAGGACTCTCTTAATTTAGCAAAGTAAACAAGTTGATTCTTTTTTGGCATGCAGCATGGAACAACTTGGCTCTGTTCTTGACAGCCTGCCAAAATTGTAATCTTTAGAAAAACATAGTTGGATCTCCTACTTTTTATGAGTCTATTGTGCTGTGTGAGTATTTTCCTACATTTTCTGTTCCATCTGGCAAGCTGTCTGTCCTATCTAGTGGCATTCTGGCTTTCGCCCGATGACCCACAGCTGTGGGTGATTGTATGTTTGTGGGTGTGATACATGCAGTGAAATTAAATACAGTCATTGGATGCTAGAAGTGGCGGGGGGCTAGCTTCTGGATCATTTTGAGAATCTCTTCTCATTTTCCCTCTTCCTTTGTAGACTTTGACTACTGGGATTTCGTAGCGCCTGAGCCCAACTTTAATGAGATGGTGTTTGAGGAACGAACATGTCAGAATCTAATTAGAATGCTGGAGAACTGCCTCTCTAAATCAAAACAGACTAGACTGCATTGCTCAAGGGTCTTAGTCCCTGACAAACTGACTCGGAGGATAGCTCAAGATGTCTTGCGTCTCTCTTCTATGGAGCCTTGTGGTTTGCGGGGCTGCATTATTCATGTCAGCTTGGAAACTGGAAATGTATGTAAAAAGCTGGATAAGATTGTTTGTGACCCCAGTGTCATTCCCACTTTTGAACTGACACTGGTGTTCAAGCAAGACAATGGTTCCTGGCCCAGCTTCAGGAGTTTATTCCCCAGAGTTTGCTTTACTTCCAGCTGTAAACAGACTCTGATCCTGAGACCTGGCTTTCGTCTAATTAAGAAAAAATTATATTCCTTGATTGGGACCGTTGTTGAAGAATGCTGAAAAGTGTGCTAGTTAAAAAAGTTGAGCTTAAAACCCTTAGAAATTGGAGTGGTATTTGCACAAGACCTGTCTATGGCCTTGAAGCCGGCAAAGTCTTTGTAAAGCTATCTGGTGCTTTGTAAAATGAGAAGCAGTGCAGCTCCTTGATACTTGAAACATTCCTCAGTTAGCAAAGATTTGGCAAGCCCAGTCGCCATCCTGATTGCCATTTATTGCTAGCAGTTGCACTAAATGTAGCCCTTGCTCTTTGGTATTCTTTGATATTTTTTTAAGCTGAGTTCCCTAGATTCACAGTGTTCTTAATTCAAATTAGGGGAAATTACTCACACATTTTCAAGGAACAAACAGGTCTCTAGGACTAAATAGGTCAAAGAGGTAGGGATGATGCTTCCAAAGTGTTGCTCATAACTGCATTGGTAGCATCAGATAAAAGAGACAGGTCAAGTCTATTTGGAAAGTGATACTTATGAAAGGCTTTGGAGTTATTGTTGCTTTGTTCTTCAAGGTCATCTTCTAAATCTTTTTAGATTAATAAAATTTGCCATAGTTCCTGTATGACATTCAGAAGCCTTACTCTAGCTGCCTGCAACCTGGTGTCTTCTAGATGTATTGCTGCCACAACTGCCAGCGAACCGACCCAGCAATGACCAAAGGCTGGAAATTTTGGGAGTTTTACTCCCAACATTTCTAAGGAGTGCCAGCTTGAAGAAGGTTGTTTTACTTGCTGTGATTGACTTGCCTTCCAAGCTAAAGGGTTTGCAGGAAGCTAGCTTGCCCTAATAATCATGAATAATCGTATATAGTTGTTCTACACTCAGTTTCTTCAAATGTGACAGTACTGAAGTCTACAGAACACTTTATGTAGGTTTGGCACTGAATAGTTTGTGTTGGTTTGTATTCAGTTTATTAGAATAATTATTTGTTGTCCTGACACATTTCACTTAGCCTGCCCAATATGGGAATTAAAAGCGCTCTATGGAATTTTTTTTTTCATTGCTGGTGGTCTCTACAATTGAAAGTGAAGAGCAATAATCTAGAATCCACAAATCCAGTTGTTAGTTGTAGATGGTGTCAGAGGCCACTGCTTCACCATAAACTTTGAGGCTCTTATTAAGCTGATTCCTGCAAAGAATCAATGAAATACTTGCTACTCCTTTCCTTCAGTGATTCTTGGTTGAGTTATGGAAAATATCAATAGAGATAAGGCAACCAAGGTTTGGATATTCAGCTTTCTTCCAGACACACATCTACACTGCAGATATCCATAATCAAGGAGCAAACTGTATAATTCTTAGCACAATTACACACACACACACACACACACACGGGAGATTCCACAGAAGGTCATGGAGAATAACAGGGCAAAGATCCTGTGGTACTTCCAGATCCAGACAGACAGGCAGGTACTGGCTGATCAACCAGACATCGTGGTAGTAGACAAGAAGCAGAAGGTAGCAGTGGTGATAGATGTAGTGGTGCCCAGTGACAGCAGCATTAGGAAGAAGCAGTATGAGAAGCTGGAGAAGTATCAGGGCCTGAAGGAAGAACTAGAGAGGGTGTGGAAGGTAAAGGCCAACATGGTCCCAGTGGTGGAAGGAGCACTCGGGGCTGTGGCTCCTAAGCTGGGAGAGTGGCTCAAACATATCCCAGGAACAAAATCAGAGCTCTCTGTCCAGAAGAGTGCAGTGCTAGGAACAGCTAAGATATTACGCAGAACCCTCAAACTCCCAGGCCGCTGGTAGAGGACTCATATTCTCACTTCAGCAGGATTGAGAAAAAGTTCCAAATTAATACAGTACTTGAGATTGGAAAACTGAGTGTCCTAGATTATCATGTCCCAAACTGGTGCCATTTAGATAGACAGGGGCCACAATTTCCAGAATTTCAGGCTTTTGGTCCTGTTGGCTATGGTCCTGTTTGGTCCTACACTTCATTATTTCTGGAGACCACCATCTTGGAGAAGGCTGCTCTAATTTTGGAAAGAATCTTATAAAATGGGTAAGATCAATTTATACTTCACAGAAAGCATACATAATTGTTAATGGAGATCTAATGAAACCCTGTGAGATACAAAAAAGAACAAGCCAGGGATGCCCACTGTCTCCTCTCTTGTTTATTCTGGTTCTTGAAATATTGAATAGAGATAATAAGACAAAACGAGAGGATTGTGGGAGTAAAAATTAAAAAAGAAACTTATAAGTTAAGGGCTTTTGCAGGTGACTTAGTGTTGCTTTTGGAAGATCCTTTAAAGGGGGTTGAAATATTAATGCATAAATTTTAAAAAATTGGTGCATTAGTGGGGTTCAAGATGAATAAACAAGATGGAGATGTTAACAAAAATATGAAAATAGAAGATCAAACAGAATGGATGAATAAAATGGATTTTAAGATTGAGAAGAAGGTAAAATATCTGGGTATCACTATGACAAATATGAATTGTATGTTATTTCAAAATAACTATGTTAAGACATGGAATGAAGTTAAAGAGGATATATTAAAATGGGAGAAACTACAACTGTCATTGCTGGGGAGAATTTCTGGATAAAAATGAATGTCTTGCCTAGAATGATGTTTTTGTTTCAGAGAATACCTGTTTTGACAACTGATACACCATTTAAACAGTGGCAGAAGAATATATATAAATTTGTGTGGCGGGGAAAAAACCACAAGTTAAATATAAGGTGTTATAAGATGCAAAGGAAAGAGGAGGGTTGGGTTTACCTGATTTGAAATTATATTTTGCAGCTTGCTGTTTGGTTTGGAGAAAAGAGTGGGTGCTGCTGAGAAATCGAAGGCTTTTGGAGTTAGAAGAACATGACCTGCAGAAGAATATATATAAATTTGTGTGGCGGGGAAAAAACCACAAGTTAAATATAAGGTGTTATAAGATGCAAAGGAAAGAGGAGGGTTGGGTTTACCTGATTTGAAATTATATTTTGCAGCTTGCTGTTTGGTTTGGATAAAAGAGTGGGTGCTGCTGAGAAATCGAAGGCTTTTGGAGTTAGAAGAACATGACCTGAGATTTGGGTGGCATGGATATTTGTGGTACGATA